AATGGGGATCTTTATCTGAGTTTTGCCTTCATTGAATAGCGCCATGATGGTGTTTTTTTAAAAATGGGTCAAACGTTTCCCCCCCCCCCCCCCCCCCCCCCCCCCTCATGCACGTGCAATTTGTCCGCAATGCCAAGTAGTATTCGTTGTAGACACAGTGACTGGCAGTGAGGTGATGCGATGTGTGCCCACCAGGACGTGCGGGAGCGGCCCGCAAATAAAGATATGGGACATAGTACAGTGGAAACAAAACGCAAACGGCAGACTCAGCGCACGGGTGACTAGGCCTGCTCCTGAGCCGAGGTGGGGGCCTTGCCCGCGAGGCGGTCCAAGTCGAGGTTTTCAAAAATGTCCTCGCCAAAGATGTCTCTGATCTCGATCAAGGCAGGCTCCCCTCTGATGACGTCCGGGGCTTCCTTTTCGAGCAGGTCGGACGGCAAGCTTGTGGACACGGCGATGCAGCGCATGCCAGCGGCCTTCGCGGCCTGGACGCCAGCGATGGCGTCCTCGATGACGACGCAGCGGTCCGGGCGGACGTTGAGGCCATTCGCGGCGGCCAGGAAGACATCCGGGGCGGGCTTTTTGTTGGGGATGAAATCCGAGGAGGTGATGAAGTTGAAGGTTTCCGGCGGCAGGCCGATGGCGTTTAAGTTTGCGTCGACTTTGACTCTGTCGGCAGCCGACGCGACGGCGACCTTCAAGCCCAGGGCCTTGACGCGCTGGACGAGGCTTACGACGCCGGGGAACGGGGCCAAGTCTGCGATGTACTCTCGCGAGGTATAGATGTCAAAAAAGCGGGCCTTTGCCTCGTCCGGGTCGAAGGCGGGGACTCTGTACAGGGCGGCGACGCCGGCGAGGAAATTGGCCTCGCCCGTGCCGGTGAAGGGGGAGAAGTCGTCTGCGGAGACGGAGACGTTGTAGAACTGGTCGAACAGGGCGACGGCGGCGTGGCGCGACGGGAGCTCCGAGTCGCAGAGCACGCCGTCCATGTCGAAGAGGACGGCGTCGAAGGGGCGGGCCGAGGGCGGGACGGGCAGGCAGGCGGATAGGCGGGCGGCGCCGAAGTAGGCGCGCTCGATGTGCGACAGGTACTGGTCCAGCACGGCGCAGCCCAGCTTAGAGATGGAGCCCGTCCCCCGGAAGCGCTTGGACGCCAGGACGGACAGGCGCGAGTGCGAGTGCGGCGAGATGGCGATGCGCTGCTGCGACGTGATGGAGGTGCGCGTCGGGATGGTGACCGGCAGGTAGGCGGGGGCCGGCGGGCGGCGGCGGTAGCGGGAGTGGTGCGGGAAGGGATTCATGGTGGGCGGTTCGAGAGGAGGGGAGGGCGGGGACGGGGATGGGCTATGGGGGACGAAGGTGGGGTGGGGGTGGGGGCGTGGGCGAGGGGAGGTGTTGGGTTGGGAGGTTTGAGAGGTCGGCGAAGGAGCGGAGAGCGGAGAGCAGGGCACGGGCAGGGAGGTGGTGGCGGTGCGCGGTGTTGAACGCGCATTGCTCGATAGTTTTGCCTCCGCCCACGCGGATGAGCCACCGCGCCCGCCACTGTGTGGTGGTTGATCCAATCCGCATGCATCGCGATCCGCAAGTCACCTCGATCGCGATCTTCCAGCCACCATCGGCCACCATCGGCCCAGAAATGGCCGTATGCATTGCTTTTCGGGTATAAATATCGAACGATTTCCCAGAGAACACATGACCGTACTAGTCGGGATCTGACTATAGGTTATCTTAAATCTGATTTCTCTAAATCAGGTGTCTCACCCAAGCATGGATGACGACGTTGTCGCTGCGCGCAGAGCTGGATAGATGCGGTGAATGACGATCTCGATCGAGAACGTCTTCCCGCACAGAAGAACGTGTCGCGAAGGAGTACGCTCCGACGCGCCGCGCGTAGTGCTGTCCGACTGCTTTTTTGCCTCTTTTCCTACTTTTTCCTACTTTTTTATACCCTTCGAAGACTACATGTACTTCGAAGACTACTTCGATGTACGCACAGTTTTCTTACGCTTTCTCCAACCGCGATGCGTCGCTTGGTCAACTTTTACCACTCTGCACCCCTGCGTCTTTCTCTTTTACAACCCTTTCTCACGTCCAAAGCCCAGAGTCCACCACCCGCACCTTTTGCAACAGCACATCCCTTTCCCTCTCCTCCGCCACTCTCAACTTCCCACTAGCCCCCTCCCTAATCCACACCGCCTTATCCACATCCTCGCCCTTCTCCCCCCCGACCTCAATAAACGCAAAACTCGTCCGTCTCTTAACATCAACCTCAGCCCTCTCACACAGCCCCTCGACCCACACCGCCGTCGCGCTCTTCCTCCTGACCACTTGCTCCTCCATCTCCATCACCTCCTGCTCTCCCTCCTTCTCCTGCTTCTCCTCCTTCCGCACCTTCACCCCTTCGCCCTCCATCCTGCTAGCCTCGGCCAGCCTGCGCCCGTACCTCTTGCCGCCGCCGCCGCCCTCCTTGACCTCGCGCCACGCCCTGGCGGCCTCCTCGCGGAGCTTTTCCAGCTGCTCGCCCTCCGCGCCGCCGCGCCGCGCGTCCTTGCGCCCCGCGCGCACCAGCTTGAGCAGCCCCGCCACGTTCTCCCGCCGCGCCCCGAACCGCGCTGCCAGCGTGCTCGCGCTCCACCGCGACCCGTCCTCCAGGTGCAGCGCCTTCATCTCCTCCTTCATCTTCGTCGGGATGTACGCCAGCGTCCCGTTCCTCCGCCGCGCACCGTGCCCCGCAGCCTGCACCGCTGCCACCGCCGCTCGCGCGCTCATCGACACCGACATCGCCCGCCCCGCTTGTGGATCGTTCGCGTTGCGCGAGAGGGAATGTCCTACTGTCGATCGGAGTGGTCTGGAAGGGGGTCCAGCGGCACGGTGGCGCGCGATGCGGTCGTCAAATTTACGTCAGCTTTGATATAATTTTGATCCCCCGGTTGAAAACACTTTAATATTTTTCTACGAAAAACCGCAGGCGGCTTCCTTCTTTTTCGAACAAATCACGTCCGCCTTTTGCCCAACCTCATAACAAGACCGTCTGCAGCTCAGAGTTGCGGCACTTGAAACGTTACAATCCCTCTGTGCAGTTTGGAAATATGTTCGCCCTTCTAACACTCCAATAATGAATAGCCCTAGCCGCAAGGCCAAACGTTTATCGGTGCAGAAAGAACACGCATTTTGGGCGTGTATGTTTCTATGACAACTAACTGTATCGGCGCCCAGTCAAACAGCTTGCGACGCCGCAGCATTAATCTTGTATGACTCGCCTACCACCTTTCCTTCATTCTCTTCATTGGAATCGAAGGGAATAATGTCGTGCTCCATAAAATCCTTTGCAGCAACAATATTGCCTTGGCCTCGTCCATATCCCTGTAAAGCCTCTCGCACTAGAAGATTTGGGCTCACCAAGTCCTCTTCTTCGTCATTCTCCTCATCAAGCACTCCGTCACCGTAAGGTTTACCATTTACGCTCCCGTTCCCTTCCGTGCCATTCTCGCTTGGATCGTCCCCGCCGTGTAGCATCTCAAGACGGCTAGAGAAATGAGTAAGCGCTACCTTTCTCGCTTTGATCTGTCGCCCAAATGCCCCGGCCATCCGAGCAGTACTGTGCATCGATACCTTAGCTTTGCCCCTCAGCGCTTGTGTGAAAGTCGCCTCATGCACGAGCAAGTCCGAGTCCATCGCAGCGTCCTGAATCAACGTCGAGTCACACGTATCCCCTAACACAGTCACTTTCCGTCTGAATCTTCCGCTACTCTTCTTGTCCAAAGCATCAGAGAATTTTGGCGTTTGCACAGTGCCCTGTTTTTTTTCTGGTGAGGTCTGCAGCACATCATGAGGATGAACGACGAGCCCCGTTTTTGTCACCGTAATTGAACGCCCGGATCGGAGGACACGCAGCTGTGTTCCGTGCACGCCAAGCTCTTTTGCCTTTACCTTGTCGATTTCAAGCGTATCTAGAGATTTGGCGCCATTCACAGCCGCACCATTCGATTGACTGCGTGCCACACCAACGGTGTGGTTTGTGCTTCTCAATGCAGTCTCTGCGGGCTTCTCATCCACCCTGTTTGCTTCGAATCGTTCGCGGAAGACATACCCAAAACAGGGCAGTCGATGCCGCAATGGAGCCGCAACCACCTCGACTTTCACGCCTTGGTCCCCCTCCATCCACAGGTGCCAGAGTCCGTCCGAGCTCACACAAACATCCTCCGTTCGTACTTCTTCAGGATGAGGAGGAGGAGACTGCTTTGATAAGTCCAGTACTCGTTCCGAGCTCACATTGAGCTCTCCATCATCCTCGCGTTCCACAATAAATGTTTTTTTGGTCTCATATCGTTCTGAAAACTTGCGTAAGTGAATAAAGTCAGTGGGCCTGGGCACGAGCTCAGCGACGGAAAACTGAACTCCGACAGGATTCGTCCAATACAAAGAAGTTCGCAGAAAGCCCCGCGTCCCGTAAGGTCCGAATATTTGAATGACCGGTTCCGCCATCTCCTCGCCACTCTCCGTTGCTAGACGTCTCCGGTGCTGCGCGAATCGTCCAATGTTTATGAGTAAGGCCGGCAGCCCATAAATATGGTCCCCATGTAAGTGAGTAATAAATATTGCACGAATCCATCGAAATCCGTGAGTCATACACCAGTCGCATCGAATGAGTTGGTCGTCGGTGTTCTCGCCAGCGTCCACGAGAAACATTGAGGGCTCGGCATTGTCCCTTTCGCTCTGGGGCATTACGATCATAGCCGTGGATGAAACGTTGCGCTTCGAGGTTGGCACGGCTGATGAAGTGCCCAGGTGTACGACCCTCCAGCTGCCGGGCTTCATCCCCAGAGCTTTACGGCGATGCAATGTCAGATCTATTGGGGGCCGCATACCATCCGAAAAATCAATTACGACGTCCATATCCTCACCTTCCTCAAAATTATGAACCACTCTATGCTCTTCCTCTGCAGATGGGACGAGGGTGGTATGCATTTCATCATCCGCTGCCTCAGCAACAAAAAATGGATCAATTTCCGGCCAAGGGTTGCGCAGGAGCTCCTCTTCTTCCTCTGAAGTTGGGACCCATTCACCACGTTCATAGTCATATTGAACTGCTGCTGGATACTGTGAGGGGTTTCCGTGGCGATCTAGAGGTTGTGGTGGTGGTTGAAGATCGTCCGAAGTGTGGCATGTTGGTGCTCGAAAGCTCACTTCTCTACCTCTGAAATCCTCCCAATAAGCGTCATCTTCCTCCCGCCAACCCTCGAAGCCACTCACTTCGGCGGGGGTAGGGGGCAATGGTGGTATTCCTGGTACCTGACCGTGTTCCCGCAACATTTTGTAGTATTCGCTCCGTTCATCTCGTGACATGCCCTGTGTATTTATTGATTCCTCATCTGACCGACAAGATGGCGCTTCCCGGCGACCCGCAAACGTCGCCTCTGAGCGGGATAGCGGATAAACTGACGACGGTCGACGTCGCTTGCATATAGTGCTGCCGAATAAGCTCTTTCGAAAAGCATGAGTCACACAGTTGGCTCCTGTATTGGCGACAAACGAGCAAGAGAGATCTTCCATCTGTCTCAGTTTTTTCTTTGGTGGTAAACGGCCTGTCCGGCGCGGATAACGACCTGTTCACAGCACGTATAGTCGGCAACGTAAACGAGGGCGACCCAACCCCGCCAACAGGGTCAACGGCGTATATTCTTTCGCAACGATTTCCGATCGAGTTGAATTTTTAGGTACTTTGTATTTTTTAGATAGTATGAAGTACACGTGTACATACTGACCCTGTTTCTCTTGCAGCAGGGCTCCCTCTAGCTAGTACAGTGTCTACTGTACACAGGTGATATTTAGCCTCATACAGTATGAGATCCCGTTTCAACATTTTCCGAGCTCAATTTGCGCTCTGAGCGGAGTAATGCTTGGCAAGATCTCGTGTCCTTGAGGACATTTTGGAATGTGTGTGGCAAAACTTGTTGGCGTGGGGTTGAGAAAGGATGCATTCCGAGTAAATAAATCACCAACGTGGGATTGTGAGATTTGGTCTTGAGAATGGGGTTGCCGCCATCCTGTGACTTCTCGCGACGATTGGATGATGACTGAGTCTGAAGAATAGAGCCGTGTCGTCGATTGTAGTTTGACATAGTTTGGCCTCCATTCTCGCTCGTTACAGTTCTGGTGAGAATAAAGATTTGTAGACATGTGCTTCGAAGCACTCAGCTGGGATCCTTGTGTTGTGACTGCAGTTTTCGAGTCGAAGCATTTTCCAGTATAAATAGCAAGTCTTTCAATTCATCTGCAACGCCTCGGCAGTAAGAGCGATTCATGGTAGAATCGAAATCTTGATCCTCCACTCGCCGTGCTCGTAGGAGGATCTTTGAGTGGAGAACTTCGATATCGGAAAAGGAGCTTGTCTTTGTTTGCGAAGATTCTTCTCCACTGTAAAGTTGGGCACATTCACTTTGCTCCATAAGAACGCAACGCGACTGGGATTCGTTCCACTGAACCGGTTGCGGCATAATCGCCGAGCATTGCAACTGCTGAAGCCTGGCTTGAGACTCTTCAATGGGGCCCAGGATGCTTCTTGGAAGGACCACCTGAGTGTGGCGCCCTGGCATGTTGCGAGAAAGTGCACTTGTCGTCCGAAGAACTTGTGTCGCGTGGTGAAACACGGCTGCTTCGCGCAGGCGCTTTATGCAGGATTCTCTCAAGGTCTGCCTTCCGCATGTCAGCACAGCAAGCTCGAGGAGAGAAGCTAATTGATGCCAGTTGCTTGTAGAGACACTTCGGTGAAGCGACATTGAAGCTCGTGCGACAAACGCCGATGCCGGGGCACATATTGCTGTTCCCTTGCTCATGATTAGAGCCTCAGCATGAGTACAAGCGCTCTGTATGGCTGCAACTGACATCAGTGCGGGGTTGAGGATGTTCAGTGCTCTCTGCAGTGTCCGGACTGGCGCACGGTCCCGTTTCAGACATGAAAGCGCAGCTTCCGTAGCGGACTTTCCATCCACGAGAAATGACAGCAGATGGAGGGCAGCGTCGCTGAGATTTCCGCCATGAGATTCCGTGTGTACTATGCCCTTCACCACTTCACACAATCGAGCACGATTGAGCCCGGCAGCTTCAAACACGCGGCTCAGTGCTAAGTCATGGCCTGGGAATTGTGGTGAGAGCCCTTGGCTTTGATTCAATTTTTCTCCTCCGTGTGATAGCACTAACCCACACAAGCATGACAGGAATCGAAGAATAGTGGCGTCCAGTACTACACTGCTCGTGGGTTCTACGTCAGGGTCACTGATGATGCCTCTCGCTTTCTGATACATTTGCACGACTTCATCAAACTTTTCGTCGGTCTGTAGTATCATGAATCCCAGGGCACCAGCAAGTGGAATCCATCTCCGTTCTGCGTACCCAGTGCCAAGTGAAAATGAGAATCGTGTTGCTCTAAGCACGACGAAGAGCAATCTGTGCCTCCCTTGTTCATTATTCTTTTGAGCATCCATTAAGCCGAGAATGAGTCGGTGCGAAAGCAATGCACGAAGTGCGCTTCGAGAGTTGATCTCTGCAAGCAGGAAGTCTTCCAACATGTCCCAGTCGTCACGAGAGGTGCGAGTGGTATTGTAAAGGCTTGTACATTGAACAGCTATTGAGGAGAGGCATTCAAAGAGAGTGAGGCCCGATTGCAGTTCTCGAAATGTAAACAATTTGACTTGAACACTATCTAAGGATGCGAATAGAACTGGGAGAAGTGCCGATTGAAGCGCTTTTTGGCAGAGCAGAATGCAGTTGTCGCATGCTTGGTGTTGGCACTGCGACCCTTCTTCGTTCGGCGTATGTGAGGTTTGGGAGGCGGACAGCCTGAGCAAGAGGAGGATGGCTAGAATTCGAACATGCTTGGTTTGCATTCCAAGAGCTCGAAGGAAAGAATGTTCTTGTTCGGTCGGGGTAGCATTCAAAGCCTTGAGTAGAAGTGTTTCAGGGCAAGTCGGTGCCCCCTGTGAATAAACCATGGATAGGAAGGATCTCATGATGCCACCTAGAGCCGGGCAAACGTTTTGAATCAGATCTTTGCGCACGGCTTCCGGGATTTGGTCGTTGTAGAATGCAGCATGAGTCACACATGCAAGCAATCTAAGCACCTGTCCTGTAACACACACCCATTTCTCCTGATCGGTGGCATGCCCATCGTGAAAGTTCAAAAAGGCCTTGCAGCACCGCGCGGCGTTAATGGCATGAAACCTAGCAATCTTCAAGTATCGCGTAAGCGTTGTGGCAGGGTTATTTCCCATCTGCAGGTTCCAAAGCTCGCTGGAGCGCTGTGCCATTTCATGCAGCATATTCCGCACGCCCACCAAGGCGCTCGCGAGCACGCGCAATCTCACCGGAACCGGAATCTGGGTCGCGTCGGCGCCCTTGAGGCACGTGGCGGTGACGACCTTCCACGCGGCGGAGTAGAGCTTGAAGACGTCGACGATGTCGAAGGAGACCTGGTACTCGCACACGACGAGCAGGTCGGGGATGGCGCATGCGTTAGGCTCTCTGCACAGGTGGTGCAAAGCCGTCTGCGCTGCGGCGACCGCGACCGCGTCCGCGCCCGAGGCGCTGGACGCATCTTGCACGACGCGTACCACGGCCGCCGCCGCTGTGGCGGCGGAGACCGATGTGTCGGCGGTGACGAAAGAGCGAAGATGAGCTACATCTGTCGTGGTAGCGAGCATCCCGGCGCACTGCGAGCGGGCAGGGGTGGAGAGGTAGTCGATGGCCATGGTGGGGGTCGTTGGGTGAGTGACGGCACAGGACGGCCGGAGGTGAGGGTTGGTGGATGCACCAAGGTTCGGTGTGCTGGCATTCCCGCCAAGCGCAACTTTCGTTCCAGTGAGCAGAAAAATATCCAAAATTCTGTACAGCACACACTTGTACACCTGCACAGCCTACGGATTCATTGTGACCATTGCCTCAACTCCTGTTATGTTTCGCTACGGCAAGTCTGCAGCCCGCCTTGCACACCCCCGTGCTGCCAACCGAGAAATGGACGCTAGCCCCCGGACCTAAACCAGGAACTCAGCACAGCGGCAGTGACCCAGCAGGGCATCGGCGGAAAACGTTTCCCAACCAGCCCTCAACCCCTCGCACCATGGCTACCAAACTGAATCTCCGGGCGCGCTTCCCCGACGGCAAGACAGAAACGCTGCTGGGTCTCTCCAGCGACATGACGTACACGGCGCTCCTCGAGCAACTCAAGATAGTCGCCAAGCTGCGCGCGCCGCCGCAGCGCGTCCTGGTTGCCGGGCGACCCCCACGCGCGATCGAGACGGAATGCGAAGCGCCGCTGAGCAGCTTTCTGAAGACAGGGGACTCCCTCATCGTGGAGCCGGTCGGCCGCACCCAGACGGCCGGCCTGGCGGCGAGCCGGGGGCGGCGGTCGAAGAAGACGATGGTGCAGAAGGCGGAGGCGCAGCTGAACGGCGGGAAAAGGAGTGGCGCGGCGCGGAAGAGGGGGCGGATCGCGACGCTGGACAGCCTTGGAAAGCGCGGAAACGGGCGGCAGCGGAAGGCGCAGGCCGTGATGGTGGACGCAGACGCGGACGACCCTCGCGACAAGGACTGGGAGGAGGGCGGGTCGGACGCGGAGGTGAAAGAGGTGGGGGCTGTCGGGGCGAGACGGTCGAAGCGGAAGAGACGGCAGGCGGCTGCGGGGGAGGGGCTCGGAGCAGGGGGATTCGACCCGCTTGGCTTGCAAGCGGCGGGTGAGGGAATCGGGGTCGCGTTGGCAGAGTCGCTCCGGAAGGACGAGAGCCGTCTTGATGCGACGGGGCGCAAGTTTCGCGACGGGCTGCAGACGGCGTTGAAGGAGCGCGAGGCGGAGGCGGCGGG